TGACACGGACGGTGCTTCTTGGAGTACGATTGCTGATGCCACTGTGATCCACACAAGCCGGAGAGACAAAACGCCAAAGTATCTAACGCATCCTTCAGCAGGGGTCAGTTATGTCAGACAGATGAACCCAATCTTTTGATCTGTAACCTGAATAACCTGTACGCTTAACCACACAAGCACAGAGGACTCGGGTCTGGATACGGGCAGTACTATGGATCTACTATTCTGGGCGAGCCAGTTGGAGTAGGAATCTTAGTATGCTATAGTATCTGATGGATAGAGAAGGTTATCACCCTGTGATGGAGGGAGGCTAAAGGAAAATTAAATCGGCATAAAAGAATCTAAAAGAATAATCATAATAATCCCCTATAGGTAAAAGCAGTACAGGACGGCTTAGAAAAAGTAGAAAGAGTGCCTTAGTATTCAGGGGCATCTACAAACATTAATGGGTTAGCCCAACATGTTTTGATCAGATGTGGGATCTATAGATTGATAGCACTGAATTTAGCTTCAGACTAATACTTGCCCTTATATAGAAATACTTTCCCTATAACCTAAGAGGTGAGGGAATAAATAAGGCATGAGGAAAAGATGGAGTAAAAAAAATCAAAAGGGAAGAAAAAAATATGCCTATTAATGATAATAATAGAGAGATTAAAGGCTATTCCCCAAATAGCAAAACCAACAAAATTAAAATTAAACATGACCTAAGTTTAGAATAGATTATTGGGAACTTGATTAAAAATCAAGTAATAACAAAATAAACTGGACAACGGTATTAAAATGAAAAAGACAGAAGGCAGAAAATTAATGAAAAAAAATTTTAAGTAACAAAATAATTCATAATACCAAAAGAAATAAAAACAGACCAATAATCTACACTTAGGTAACTAAACTATTGTTTGGATAAAATGATAACAGGGAAAAAAAAATGCTTAATCGAAATTAAAACAAATTAACTCCAAACTGTTTGACCATTTAAGACCACTTGAGACACAATGGTGGGCGGAACTGATGTGAGAAGAGCAGAAGGAGACAGGGGGTGATGTTTCCGAGTTGCACTTCACATTCGGTTAGCCTTGTGCTAAAGTTTGTTAACGTTACAAAATGTGAAGGGTTGGTTTGCTTAAGCATTAGCTGGCGTTGGCCGCTAGCAAGTTGTTACGCTTCGCATCCGGTTAGCCTTGTGCTAACAGTTTGGTAATATTAAGACGCGAAGGGTTGGTTTACTTGAGGCTAGTCGTTAGAAGCTAGCGAGTGGTTTTGCCCTGTGATGTAAGCCGCGTCACACACGCTGCCTCCTGAAGGCGGATCTTATGCTTTGGGGTGGTGACTACGTCATTCACGCATGCGTGCGCGCGCACGAGTTACGTGGACGAGGAGTCAATGAGCGCTCGAAGAGCGGATTGATGAATGGGAGAAGCTCTCATTCATAACTTGGTATGCGGCTGACTTCACAAAGGCAAAGCGCGAACCACCAAGATTCGCATAAACGGTCATTATATATCATGTTGCCGTAACACTGATAATAATATTCGACCATTACAATTAGACAAACAAACATAAAATGCGAGACGTCTCTCGAGGCGGTGCACGTTTGTACACAGATTTGGTCCGGACGAACATAACTGAAATATGGGAATTCACATCCATATCAGATTTTGGTACCATTTAAAAAACACGCTTATGGTTCTGAGAATTCCTTTCGTCAGAAAGCGGTTAACAGGCAAGCTTGCAGCTCCCAAATACATTAATTTAGAACCGTCCAGCAGTTCTGAAATTAATTTCGCACGGCGGCGAAGCAAAGAGGTTAAACGTTAGGCAGCTAATCTAACAGTTTTAAACCACGGGAGAAATAGGCTAGAGGTTTTCTAGCTATAAGAAGGCCTTTAAAACGGACAGGTTTGGGGTTTCCATACTGTCTTACAAGCGCTGAGAGAGGTGTCTTTTCCTCCGACAGGCACACTAATATATTTAAATGATTTGCGGAACGTGCGTCTTAGCAAAATCGATTTAAAATATATATGAACTGCAGTTTAAATTGTTACACTCTACACGGGCAGCTCTCTGCTGTGTTTAGTGAACAGAATGGCTGGAGAAGGCGTTTCGTCCTCCCAGTTTTGAAGAAAGGAAATGCTTCTCGCGGTCCTTTTTTTTTTTCTTCTATATCGCGCTTAATAAATCACAATGAATTGGAAAGTTTGTTTCACAGAAAATGTTTGGAAAACTGCCCGCATTCTCCACCAATATATGTAGCATGAAATTAGCTCATTTTATGAATATTAATAATCAACAATAACGGTTTATTCTTAATTATTAATATTCCGGCTTAAGCTTCAGTCAGTTTGGTCAAACAAACATATGATTGTAAATGATCATGCTCGCGTGACCGAGCGGATTCCCAAATTATGAATATTAATTATCAACAATAACGAATTATTATTAATCATTAATATTCCGGATCAATTTATTGTCAATTTGACCAAACGAACACAAGCAGAGCCGCCGCTCTTCCGAGCGGACACTGTAATCTATTCATTTAGAAAAAGGGAATTTAATTGCTACTTCTTGTGAAGTAGATTAATCATTCAAAGGTTTTAAACAACTTATAATAGCTAGGCAGGGGAATCTGTATTTCAGTGACATTTTCTCGTGAGGCAAACAATACAATTCATTTGATTATAATGGAATTTATTGACTAGTCAGACGTAACGAACAAACAAACGCACAAACATAGATTAAACACAAAACAAAGGTAAACCACGTGGAGATATCAGGTCTATAGAACGTGTAACAGCAAAGAGAAATAGTAAAGCTAGAAAATATAGATTTCAGATTAAAGAGTGACAAAACGTTCAGTTCCACACGCACCATTACGGACCACCAAGGTTATAAAAAACACCTTTTTGATAAAAGGGGCACAGCTTAATCGCATAACTAAAATCACCTGGTCTTTCATGTCTGGCGGTCTCTCTTATGCGTCTCTCTTCCGTCGTGATGAAACTACTCTTGATGTCCTTTGATGCGTGGAGTTTGTAATGCAGTTCGGACGAACACGATCGCAAACTTTAAACTGAATTTACTTTGCCGGAAAATAAAGAAAGCGTGGCGGGAAAAAGTCCATGCGGCTTAGAAAGCCACGTGTGGCCCGAGGGCCACCGTCAATGATGTTCCTTTTTGGGAAGTTCTCTTTCTGCCCAGATGTTTGGGGGGAAGTGTGCTTATACCTGCGGATCACGTGACAACCCGTACAGCATTCTGACCAATGATTTCAGGGGAAAGTTTGCGCGCGAACCCTTTCTTTGTCTCGAGGTCCCTCGTATGCAAATTTGAGTGTCCGCCCAAAGCATGCGGACAGGCATTTAATACAGGGGATTAAAGAATAAGGCAATGCTAGTTATGATTTTTCTCTATGCATCATGTGCTGTAAAATGTCAGCAGAAACCCATCGGTACCAAACATGGGGGGGGTATTTGGGCAGGAATGTCTTTGAAGCTCTCCTGCTTATCTCTCCAGTTCCCCTGAACAACTTAAGCTGTCAGGAAAATCCAGACTTCTTGGAGCCAGGAGTCGTAAAACCTTCTGACCAAAGCCAGACCGTGATAAAATCAATAAGAAGTTTAATCTGTGGACTGTACGCTACAGAGTTTCTCTTTTTGCGTTCAGTCAGCATCACATTATCAAGTAACATTCAGAAACAGAAAATCATAGAGAATTGATTCTGTATCGTCCACATCTGCATTGTGACAGGGACCTTATAATGTCAGCAATATAATTAGTCAACTAAGCTGTCAATCAAAATAGTGAAGCGTCAATTAAGTGCACTCTTTTTGTTATTTTACTGTATTTGACCTCTGAAATGGTGAACTCTAATCTTTTCACACTGTATATTGCACATTGATTTTTTTTAAGAGAATAGCTCTTCTATAAAAAAAAAATAACTCATAATTTTTCCCCTCCTGTGGTTATTCACCTTTTATCAGTTCCTTTCTTCACAAAAGAAGATGTTGTGAAGAATGCTTGTTGCTGGGACCTATTGACTTTAATAATAGACCATTTTCACATGTCTGAGTTTCTCAGAGAGCAGTGAATGGGAGAGTACCACAAATACTTTTTTTATTCCAACTTGTTCAAATAACAAAGGAAAAACTACACAATAGTGTTATCACAACTTTTATATATATATAAAAAAAAAACAAATTATGTGAGACTGATATCAGTTGCCAGAAGAGAAAAATGTCAGATGCACTGTCCCATTCACTGCATTAGAAACACTTCAGTAAAGTGTTGACTATTTTTTAAATTAACTATTTTGGAATTCGATACAAATATGAAATAATACAAAGGACAGCTTCTTGAATGTACAAACATTTTATATAATAAAATAATAGAGTCTTATTTTATTATATAGTCTTTAAATATGAAAAAAAAAATGTTTAGACCATGAAATGTTTCTTGTAAAAAAAGGGTCCATAAGTAAAAAAAAAATATATATATATATATATATAACATGGCAGTTTTTAGCCTCCTTGTTAGAGCAACTGACTCCCATGCGGAAGGTCGCCGGTTCGATCCCAGCTCAGAGCGGGTTGGGTGATGTAGGGCCGGCGGGGTTACATTAGTGTCATGACCCGGATGGGATTGAGGTTTAGGGGGGTGAGTTTAACTTAGGCCAGCTAGTATGTGCTGTGCAGGTAAACTCACTCCTCTGAACTTCAAACATGCTCTAGCGACAGACTCTAGAAGCCATGGTCTTTAGTCTCATTGGTAGAGCAACCGACTCCCATGCGGAAGTTTGCTGGGTCGATACCAGCTCAGAGTGGGTTGGGTGGTGTAGGACCGGCGGGGTTACACCAGCTACTAATGTTCTTCAAAATATATGCTTTTGTGTTCAACAGAAGAAAGAAACTCATTGGTTTTAAATTTTTATTTTTTGGTTGAATTATCCCTTTGATGTGTTGTTTATATATATATTTTTTGTAATGTCCATTTCTGTCTAGGATTGCGCAGTATGAAGGAGGGGCGGTATGTAGTCAGGCCCGCTCATTGTGGAGACTTGAGCCTCTGAGAATCGGGTGAGACAATCTTTCTTCTCTTACCTTAGACTTATTTACTAATGGAAAATGTGTTCTACATTAAGTTTTTTTCTGTGCAGATGGAGCGGTAGCCACATGAAGTGGGGTCAGGCGTTCCGCGTTCGCCACATCACAACAGGTCGATATCTGTGTCTGGATGATGAGAAGGGCCTGATGGTTCTGGATCCAGAAAAAGCAAACACTAAACAATCTGCCTTCTCCTTCCGTGCCTCAAAAGTCTGTTTCAGCTCATATAAACACTACTTGAAATGTTAGTCTGCAAATGTTAACCACTTATTTTTTCTTTCTGCATATTTCTTCTTCTCGGAGAACAGGAGAAAGTGGAAGGGGAGAAGAAAAAGCGGGATGTTGAGGGAATGGGTATTCCTGAGATCAAGTATGGCGAGTCCATGTGCTTTATGCAGCATATTTCTACAGGCCTGTGGCTCACATATGCTGCTTTAGATGCTAAAGCGGCTCGCCTGGGAACCATGAAGAGAAGGGTAATGAAGCTCAGTTAATTCCAAACCACATGATAACAAAACATGTTTCACACAAACTCAAAAAATGTGGAAAAACACACACACACAATTCAATTTAGTTTACAGATGAAGTAAACACACAAGGCAGTACAACCCCGAACTATAGACATTAAGGGGTCTATTTTGAAAATCCATGGGCAAAGTGCAAAGAGCAGGGCGCAAACGCATTCAGGGCGTGTCAGAATCCACTTTTGCTAATATAAGGATGGAAAAATCTGCTTTGTGCCGTGGCACATGGTCTAAATGGTTGAGCTTATTTTCTTAATGAGATATAAGTGTTTTTTGAGAATAAACCAATCAGCGTCTCATTTCCCATTCTTTTTAAGAGTCAGTTGCATCGCGCCATGGTGCATTTTCTATTTACATGGTGACTTTGTAAGTGTAAAAACTGAACGCTTCCCTAGAGAGAAAACAATTAAACAAAGCATACATGAGAGAAAATGAGAAAATGAGAGATAAGGCCTCATTATTTACTTTCACTTTCATTCTCGTGGATAGGGAATCTTCTTGTATGCACAGACATCAATAGCCTATAAATAATTAATTTAGTTTGTTAAGCGCAAAGATTTGTTTCAAAACTATTTCTAAATTCAGTTCTAATTTCCAGCAAACGAATAAATGAACAATCATAACGAAGTGTGGTCAAAAAACATATCCAAATACACATACTGTGTCCAATATGGTCTAAAACCTGACAAGTGGAAAAATCTAAGCTTGTTTAAAAAAAACAAATATAAATATGCATATAATAAATAATACTGCTAATATTAATAACATTATACGAAAGCAAATTGTCACGAATAAACTGAAAAAGCCCCCAAAATGAAGAAGGCATGAAAGTATGGTTTTTATATTTATGTAGGCTAAAAAATAATATGTTTTGTAATATTTTAATCCTTTATATTTATTCCATTTATACATTTTTATTATATCCTAAATATATCCTTAATATTTTAATTATTTTTCAAATGTAAAGATATTTGCGTATTGCTCTACATCTTGTGTGTATTAAGCAATGTGCAACGGAGGCGCACAACTAACGCGCTCTGCGCTAGACTTTAGACCGGCTTTGTTCTGGTCTATAGAACAGACTATTATAGTTTCTCAAAATAGCAAGGCGCCAGCGATGCACCTCAAAACACCTCCTTTTTTGGACTAGAACGCCTATGGGTGCAAATGCATTTGCTATTTAAACAGCGTGGCGCAAAACGTCAAAACGACTCTTGCGCCAAGCTGAAACTAGCAAACAACAATTGCATCGTGCCTTGCGCCACATTGCGCCAGGTGTATGATAGGGCCCTAAATGTGTGAGGTAAATTCAGCATAATACTAAATAACATTGTTTACAAGTATTGAAATGCTAAATATGTTGATTTAAGGAGTTTTGAGGTGTTTGTACAGTATTCTTGTCAGGGAATGGGGGTGATGAAGAGGAGGCGAGGACCCAAATGCGGAGAATGAAGAATTTATTGAAAAATAAAACAAAAACAAAACTCAAATCTCCCCATGTGGGGAAAAACACGACATTATATTATACACGTAACTAGACAAGATCTGGAACTTGGCAGACACAACTTTAAACCACTGTTGTAGAGCGGAATCAGCAAACCTCATACAACAGGGAAGGAAACAATCAATAACGGACCAGCACAGAACAGAGCACACTAGGAGAATAAATAGGAAAGACAAACCAATAAACAGACAGGCGGACAGGTGAAAATAATAATTACAAACAAGGTAACAAGGTGGGTGGGACAAGACAATAGACGGGAGAGCGCATGACACAGAGAGACAATACAAGCCATGCGCTCACATGACACAACACTGAAGCACACGACAAAAACACGTGACCACAATGTAAACACCGAGCCACGTGCTTTGACAAAAGACGCAAGACACGAGCACACGATGAATGAAAACACTCACCATGCGCTCACATATGCAGCATGCATGCTTCATCCCAGCGCCGACCAAAACCGAAACCAACAAGACTGAGACGCTGGGAATGAAACACCATGCTGCTGACAGACGAAAACACAAACACGAGTACAAGAGCGCATGCGTCTGAGGGACGCAGAGAGCGCGCGCGGCCGCGTCAAGCAGGAGCGCGCACACTCTGCGTACACCCACGACGGCGCACGCGCACACAGAGACAGAAACAGGACCAGACACGAGTAGTGTCCGAGATCTGCCACCAAAACAAGAATTTACAAGATCAGAGTGGCAGAACCCTGACACTACCCCCCCCCCAAAAGGGACGCCACCTGGCGTCCCTAAAGGGAACATCCAACAAGGTACAAGACAGACAAGAAACACCACAAGACAACATCAACAAACACTAGACAGGGAGGTGAACAGGCAAGACGACATGAAGAGGGGAGGGAGGGAAGCCAAGCCGGACTCAACAAGACAAACAAGGGAGGGATGGGAGGGCAAGACCAGGGAGGATCAGGAGGGACAGTCCAGGGTGGATTCAGTGGGTCGGGGGGCCCGGCAGGGAGCCAGGGTGGAGCCGGAGGGTCCGTCCAGGGTGCAGGGAGGGAACACCAGGGAGGAGCAGGAGGGACGACCCAGGGAGAGTCTATCAGGGGAGACAAGATAGGAGGTCTGTAGAGAGCCGGTTGAGCTGGAGGCGACTTGACAAGAGCCGGCTGGACAGAAGGCCTGAGGGGAGCCGGCTGGACAGAAGGCCGCTGCTGGGGAGCCGGCAGGGCTGAAGGCGGCTGGGCTGAGGCTGGAGGCCTGTGGGGAGCCGGCTGGGCTGGAGACCAGAGGGGAGCCGGCAGGGCAGGGAGCCGGGCTGGGGCCGGCTGGGCAAGACGTCTGGGTGGCGCCGGCAGGGCAAGGAGCCGGGCTGTGGCCGGCTGGGCAAAACGTCTGGGTGGCGCCGGCGGGGCAAGACGCCTGGGTGGCGCCGGCGGGGCAAGACGCCTGGGTGGCGCCGGCGGGGCAAGACGCCTGGGTGGCGCCGGCGGGGCAAGACGCCTGGGTGGCGCCGGCAGGGCAAGACATCTGGGTGGCGCCGGCAGGGCAAAGAACCGGGCTGGGGCTGGCTGGGCAAGACGTCTGGGTGGCGCCGGCAGGGCAAGACGTCTGGGTGGCGCCGGCAGGGCAAGACGTCTGGGTGGCGCCGGCAGGGCAAGACGTCTGGGTGGCGCCGGCAGGGCAAGACGTCTGGGTGGCGCCGGCAGGGCAAGACGTCTGGGTGGCGCCGGCAGGGCAAGGAGCCGGGCTGGGGCCGGCAGGGCAAGACGTCTGGGTGGCGCCGGCAGGGCAAGGAGCC